TAGGTGGTTAAAGTGCGCTTCATGTTCAAAGGTTTCAGTCTTCAAAAAGAGGGTGGCTGAGGTTTGATTCCAGTCTGTGGTTCTTTGATGCATTTCCTCTAAAGGTCGTTATCCTGTGCTCTCAACAAAGACATGATAAAAGCACAAAAGTATACTTATGACCAAAAAATAGCTGCAGTTCCTTAAGCGTCCACTTGGGGCTGGCTCCGAAAATGAAGCAGACCCCATTAGCATGTTAAAACTTTCCACTTTTAAAGCAGATATAAACATCTTTGCTCTCTGGTATTAAAAAAAAGTAGTTTGGTCTGAAGATCTCGTTTCCTTTTTCATGCACACTTTACAATTATCTGTTTAGAACAAGGCCATTCAATTACATTTTGAATGGGGCCGTTTTTAAAGACCAGCTCGATGAAGCAGGCACTCCAAATCTTTTTCAGTCACATATCTGGTAGGATACCTTTGAAATACTTAGGTCACATATTAGCAGAGGTAAATTTAAGTGTATAAGGATTATTACAACAGTAGTCACTGTTACCGTTACATAACCTCACTTCAGCTTGTTCACATCCTGTCACTATTCAGACGCTGAGAGCTGTGTTTTTGTAGTTAAGTGATGCCTCCAGAAGTTATAGACCTTTTTATGATCTTCTGCACCATAGAGTTGTCACAAAAACAGAACTGTTTGTTACTTTTAATTTTCAATCTGCACACAGTGTCGGTACAGACGATGTCCCTGAACACAGAACTCATTTTGACATATTGTTCAAGATAAATGAGAATTTTCCTGACTGTAATGTTTCTTTGTGCACAAGTAGACCCTTTATCTGTATGAGGCATTGCACAAAAGTGTGGACCTTTCAGTTATCAGCTGGAGATTTAGCTGGAGTAGCAGTGATGGTGCACAGGCATGGCTAAGATATATCCAGCTGGCAGGAAGAAGCATGACTCCAGCTGCAAGCAAACTAAACCCAGCAGCTTCATGTGCGTCTGTGTGGAGACGTGGATGTGTTAGAGAAATCTGTCAGGATAAAACACTGATATTCTTTTCAGTGGGTGTGATTTTATAAGGATTTATTCTGATGTCAAATATCTGAGGCAGATATAAGGTGGGATAAGTTCGAGTGTGGACATGTAATTAAAGTATGTCCTGCTGATATTCCATTACGCGCTCTCTACAGGGTTTTCGGAGTAAAACAGCGGCTCTCCTTTTACAAACTGTCGACAGTAGGATGTATTTTTCTCAATCAGAACAAAAAAAATGGACTTAAATCTGGTGTAAACCGCTCCTTGAAAACCCTGACCGGACTTTGCCACAGCAAATTGTGCAGGAAAGCACCTGAGCGGAGGAGCGTAGAGCTTTTATTCATCTTTCTTTTTCTCAATTCTTCAACTCTTGACAGCTTTTAACTGAATTGTCTGCTCGGGCCTGAGTGCAGCCCCAGACACAGGCCGCTGAACACTGTGACATCTCCACTCCCCCTCAGCTCCAGAGCCGCAGCCCTCATCCAATTTACCATGAAAGGAATCCAGACAGTCCTATAATATGACCCACGGCTGCCTCGATTGAACACGGTCGACGACTCCGGGCCCGGGCTTCACACACATAACCGGCTGGCTATCTACAGAGGACCACTGGCCGCCTGCTTCCCCTTGATAAGGCCCATTGCCCAGGGAAAGAGTGGACACATCCATCTGGCTGCATTTCATGTCAAAGAGTGCCCCCTGGTGGCCCTGAGGGGACAGCACAGCCACCAGGTCTTTAATGTATCACCTCTAGCTGCAGTCAGGGGGGTGGTTTCACTGTCGGACACAGATTAGTGCTGTGTTTCCTCTAATTTCATGCAGCAGCGGTGCTCGAGGTACTTTTTGTTGTTTTTGGTTCCACTTCCATCCTGGTGTCAGTCACAGTTATCTTCCTAATGCAGGCGACTGCGGAGAGAATACTTTATCACAACGGGAACATGATTTGTCAGCATTAGGGTGGGTTCTCGGTCTGTTGTGAGAGAAAATCAAAGGAAAAAAGTGTGCAGAACTTTTAAAGGTCGCTTTTCTACTGCAATGATTATCTGTTTTTTTTTTTACTGAGTAGTTCAACCTCATGAATAAAGAGATCAAAACAAAGCACCTTTTTAGAAGTATATACTACAAATCTGACTGAGTAGGAAGAACCTCATAATAGTGTGTGAGACAAAGACAGCAGAGAAACTTTTGATTTAACGTATAAACTTTAACTGAGATAACAGGGACGAAGCCTGTAGTCCCCTGTACTAAAGTTAGTGACTGTCTTAGACCATCTTTCTTCCACTAAGTCCACAAACTGCTAGTGTTGTAGTCTAGTCTTCCCAAACTTTGAGTCCTAGTTGAGTCACAGTCACCAAGTTCAATCAAGTCTTTGTATGCAGGACAGCTCTTTCGCTCTAAAGTATCGTCTGTGTGGACCTGGACAGACTCTTTTCAGGCCTTTTGGGTGACTGTATGTCCTCTTTTACCCGGACAGGTCCTCTTTTTTTGGGGCTGTCTGGCTTGTCTGGGGGGATTTATAAAATCCTTCAAATGTCCAGGTTTTTTTGTGGAAGTTTCGAGTTTGTGTCACGTGGACTTACTAAGTTAGGAGTGCGTAAAAATCACTCGATCCGACCTGAAAAACTGTCAAAATTAACTATGTGCGACTTTGTGACCCCGCCCCCGCATAAGTCATGTCCATAGATTGGACAGCGTCTGCCTCCTCCTCGATGAGTGAAGCCACTGTGAGAACAGCACCCTCTGGTGACGGGCTGCAGTATAGGTCATAAATCCCGCCTCCTGCAGCAGAACTTCTGGAGCTGTGGACAAACTTTAGAAATTTATTACACAGAATATAAATTTTAACCTCCCTGGTTGCGATGTTGACATGTAGTTACAGTAAGACTGGTTTGTGCTCAAGTCTTCTTTTTCTCTGTGAAGCTCCATTTTTAAAAGTTATTAAGGGGGTTCATGTTTTCTATGATTGACACTTGATACAGCCTATGGGCGTTCAGAGATTGCGTAGCTGTTTGAGCCGAGCGTCATCACAGCAACTCTCGGTGACTCTCCCGTCGAATGTGCACAATGCTACTGCGCAATGTTGGTTTCAGGAAATAGATTAAAAAAACACGGGATTACCAAGAGGTTTTCGGCTTCAAATCTGTATACTGGCAGAAGGCGGAACCAAGTTGTCCATAGAAAATACAGTCTATAGTCATGTCCTCTTTTTCGGAATACAAAATATGGTCACCCTACTTTTGGATGTCTAGAAAACTGTTAGATTCTTAGAACTACTGTATTAGGTTTCTCTCTTTGTTTCACTCTTTATGGTCAGTAACCAGTGCAAGTTTTTTTTTTTTTACCTTTAGTTAAATCTTCGTTTGGTCTTCTATGTCCCCCTGTGGAGCCATGAGAAGAGAAACAACTATTTTTAAATCACTTTTAAACTCAAGAGTTCAGGTTAGTTCTCAGCAGCATCCTGTCATGTTACAAAATGACGTCAGTGCAGAGGTGATAAAAAGGAAGTTCAGGGACTGAATTCAACTAAAAATACTGTGAACAAGTTAAAGTGCCGAAGAGAGGAGGAGAATAAAAGAGCAAAGACAGGACAGCTCATTGTTGTCTGGTGGATCATCCTCTTCCTCTGGATTATGAAGATCCTCCTCAGACTTTGGATCTACACAGAAATCTTCAGCCTGATATTGTCCTTGTCCTGAGTTAGAGAGCTGCCTCCACATGGCTGGACTGGAGAGACTTAGAGAGATTTACAGCTGAAGCAGAGGACAAGAGGGACATCATCCATTTTCCAACCAGCTGTGATTCATCGTTTCATCCACTGAGGTCTCCTTACTTGGACTGTCTGAAGGACTTTGGACAGGGTCAAGGAGTTTCCCTCCTCTCCCTGCTCCTGTTTATCAGTGATCTCTTCTTCAAGTTACATTATCAGTGCTGAACCTCAAAGGTGACCTCACATGGTCTCACAGATCTTTGTTATTTTCTGCTGCTGTGAAAACAAGTGAAAAATAACTCACTAACAAGTGCTGCTCAACTGTTTAAAGGATTTTTTTGCCTCCAGCGAAGCCCCGCCCACCTAAAAAGTTAGTTGAATCTGACATTTGCTGTTATCGTCTCTGTTTTAGACTCTCAAACCAGATTGTAACCCCCTGAGTTGACATCATAGACTGCATATGGGTGAAGGCACCACGAGAACAGCACCCTCTGGTGACGGGCTGCAGTATAGGTCATAGATCCCGCCTCCTCCAGCAATCCGTATGGAGCTGTGGACAATCTTTAGAAATTGATTACATAGAATATAAATTTTTCTACCCCCTGGTTGTGATGTTGACATGTAGTTACTGTAAGACTGGTTTGTACTCAAGTCCTCTTTTTCCTGTTGAGCTCGATTTTTAAAAGTTATTAGGGGGTTCATGTTTTCTATGATTGACACTTGATACAGCCTATGGGCGTACGAAGATTGCGTAGCTCATCCGGGGGATACACTGTTTGAGCTGAGCGTCATCACAGCGACTCTCTGCGACTCTCCCGCCGCATGTATACAACGCTACTGCGGAAGTGGTGGTACCAGGAAGTGGAGAAAATTCTTGGAATACCAAAGAGCAATTCGGCTTCAAATACATTAATGACGGAAGGCGGAGCCAAGTTGTCCATCGTATATACAGTCTATGGTTGACATGCTTATGTCACATCTGTGCATGGTAGTTTCCTTTAGTTTCTTACTTTGAAGATCAGCGCTCGCGTTTTTGCCACAGGAGGAGGTGAACTGCGTCAGACTCATTTCTGCAGAATGACTCGTGTGATCAGGATGTCTGTGGCGTTGCTTCGAAGAAATAAAAACCATTGTTACTAGGCGTGATAATATCGAGCACAAACCTCTAGACTTCATGATACTTCTCAAACTTGTTCCTCTTTCCATTTAAATTTGAAAAAATAAACATAACCTGGAGGCAGCTTCAGCTTGCCTGTAAAATATCAGATTATCACAACAAAACTCCTGCATGACTCAAAAACACTCGTATCTCCCAAATGTTCCTCTCTTCCTCTGTATGTGGGAGACTGAGTGAGAGTAAAACAGCAAATTTTACCTTATTTACCAGGTTCAGAGTTGGTGCAGGAGTACTTGTGAGTGAATGTGTGTGTGTGTGTGTGCGAGGGCATGGTAGAAGCATGCCTCGTTTTTTTGGAGAGTGTGACAAATCGGAGCCCTCGGCTTCATGATAAGAGGAGAACGGGGGACCCATCCAGCCTGCATTATTCATGAGGAGCAGGCATGTCAGGCGGTGAAACATGCTGAACAAAGCTGCACGCTAAATATCAGACTGTGTGGGTTCATGCATCTCTACCTCTGAACCCACACTAGGAGAGTTTACAACATCACTGCTTCAACTCAAAAAGAAGTTGTTTTTCTTCAGGGTGAACAGTTGTCTCGCTCTTTTTCAGGAAAAACAAACATGGAAATAATGTTTTGAATACTTCTGCACCACAAACAGCCAATTACGGATATTACATCAACTTTTCGACAAGTATATACTCAGAAACTAGTTTGCTGTGTGAAATCTGGTGCTGTATTTTTAGGGTAACAGCGCCATCTCCTGGTAAGACTAATACCAGTCTGTGGCTCCTATTCATGTTTTTATTTATATAAAATAAGATTTAAATCTGAAAATTATCATCATTTCAAAACAATAAACATATAAATATTCCTCTATTGTATCACCTCAGACTCCGTTGTGTTGCAAATAAAATAAATTCTAATTCTCATAAGTTTAAGGGGCGGCTCAGTGGTGTAGTGGTTAGCACTGTCGCCTCACAGCAAGAAGGTCCTGGGTTTGAATCTAAGTCAGGGTGTCTCTGTGTGGAGTTTGCATGTTCTCCCTGTGTCTGTGTGGGTTTACTCTGAGTACTCTAGTTTCCTCCCAGATCCCAAAAACATGCAGAAGTGGGGTTAGGTTAACTGGCCACTTTCAAATTGCCTATGGGTGTGAATGTGAGCGTGGATGGTTGTTTGTCTCTATATGTCTGCCCTGTGATGAACCGGCGACTTGTCCAGTGTGTCCCCTGCCTTCGCCCGGAGAAGCTGGGATAGGCTCCAGCCCCCCTGTGACCCCCAATGGGAATAAGCAGTAGAAAATGGATGGATGGGTAAGTTTAAGACACTAGATTCCTGATTTAATGAGTTGAAATTATCAAAACTTAAACAAGCAAAAAATAGCCCTGAAATATTTCACTCGGCATCCAACGAACATAGAAAATGTGAATGTTTAACTTTGCAAGAGGAATCATTATAAAGGCAAATTTTATTCTCTAGTCTTGGAAATGGAAAGAGTTCTCTCATTCAAGACTTTTCTAGACCCAAATAGAAGAAAATAAAAGACTTTTTCACAGTAGAAGGAAAAACAAATATCATATTTAATAAAACATACACTGTTTATGCTTAGTTTGAAACTTTTTTGCCTCATCATGTTTGAGCCTGACGATTTATTTCTGATTTTTTCATCTTGTTGCCAAATTTCCTTGAGCGTTTTCCTGAACTTCTTCCCTCAGCTGGTGCATCACCCCAAACCTTAGTTACAAAAACGCCATCCTAAATCAGAACTTACATTTAAACTTGACTAATCTTGAATTTACACACAGGTGGTATATTCCAATGCAGGTGGTTATGCTAATCAGCACCCAGACAGATAAGCAGGACAACGGTTTTTGCCACAGTGTCAACAGGCAGAGGTGAAATGTTCCAGTCGGACTAGAGTCCGCCTTGCTATATAAGGATGATCCACCCTTGTTATGAGGTTTTGACCAATCAGAATCAAGTATTCAACACAGCTGGATGACCAATAATGAAGCCAGCTTATTATTAGGAATAAAACTGCACATGATGCTACCGAGACTCAGGTGTGTCTCTAACAGAGAACTGCTGTGTGGTATACTACAAGTTAAGACATTTTACAAGTAGAAATGAGACTTTTTAAGACTGTAAAAGACTTTTTTAGGACTTTTTAAGGATCCAAGGGAACCTCTGTAAACTTTTTCCAAGCAAAAAGGCAAATCTTAATAACAGCAGAGCAAAATGAGGCTCAAATTAAACCTATTACTTGCAGTCATTGCAGCATGTATTCCCAGAACAGCCGCCTGGTGTAATATTTTCGTCTTATTACGGGTATGCGGCGCACCGAGGGGTTGGAAATATATCTGAAAATGAAACGACTAATATGAGAAACAAATGAAATAAGTCTGAGAAGTGGAAAAATTAGAGTTGGGACTTGAGCAACTCTCACAGCTCTGGATAACAAGACAATACAAAACAAGTAAATGAAAGCGAGGGCAGACTTCAATATGTCTTTTTTTTATTAAGTCTGACGGCGCGGTCAGATAGAAAAGGAGGAGAGTTACACTTTTCAAGTTGCTTCCATGACTTGTGCAAACACTAGACGGTATCTGGGGGGGAAAATCCTCTGAAAGTAAAAACAAATGAGGAAAAAAAGACACTGAAATGAAATGAATAAGTGCCTTTAAATCTAGGTGTTGATTCTTTATGCAGTATTTATTGATTCCCAGCTTCATATAAACTGGATGTTGAGGCATAAACATAGTACATTTGAACAAAAATATAACCAATATTTACAATTATTGTATTAAAAATACAAAAACAACTGATACATACTCCACCAATTGTCTTTTTAAAAGACATACAGGTCAAAGTAGTACAAGAAAGAATGAAGAAAAAGAAGGTCATCACCAGCTAAATGTACATTTCTCACTGACATCACACATCAAACAGAGTAGCAGTTCTACCCACTACACGTATCTTTACGCTTGTACATTTTTGTGCAACTTTTTGTTTTTCCAAATAGGACTCGGCCTGCTAATATGCACATAATCTTCAGAGTTTGAATGAAAGTGAATGATGCATGTCACCACTGTATTACAAACAAATTATTAACAATCTATCTGCAGCCATTACAAAAGAATTACAATAACAAAAAAGAAAAAAAAAACATGAAATCATTAGTGTGTAGTCACAGAACACAGTGGAAAAAACACTGCACTCATTCTTCTTCTTCTGCTCAGTCTGTAGTTTCTGAGACTGATCAATGTGATCAGTGCGACTCAGTGATAGAGGAAAACGAAAGCAAAAGTGTCTTTTTCACAAATGGTTTTCCGATTGATCTGATTGGCAGCCTTGGAAAAAAAATGTTTCTTCATACGTCAGCTTCCCACCGGAGTCAGGGAAAATAAAAAAAATCTTCTTCAGTCGCTTCTATCGATGAGAGAGAGAGAGAGAGAGAGAGAGAGAGAGAGAGAGATATGGTGTGAAACTGGACTCAGGCGTCCAGCGATTTATGTAACAGGTGAGGATGAATCTATGCAGAGAGGAGAGGAGCAGACAAAAGCATCTATGACGCTGTAACGTGATGCCGTCTGAAGCCAAAAACGAATACAAACAAAACACTGAGCTTCATCTTGTACTGAGTCTTCACATGTTTTAAAAAAGACAGGAGGGGAAAAGTATTCTTGAATAAGGCATTTCACTCCGCTTCCATTTGATTCAAACTGCTTCATAAACAAAGTGATTAGTGATGGGAACGACCACGCAAAGAAATGGATGCACTCGCGGCATCGTAAGGCGCTTTGGACATTCACGAAAACATGTGGCATATGATGAGGCTGAGGGGGAAAAAAAGAGATTTGATTGGGGTACTTTTATTTTGAAGGGGAAGTGTGTGCGTGTACATGTGTGTATCGCTATAAGACTGTACAAGATCGTTTATAAAAGTAGGATTTACACTCGATTTAAACACACTGGCAGCTGCACAGGAGGCGACACATTTTGGATCCATTAACCCTTTGAGATTGGAACATCAACACCTGAACACCGGCTTTTGGTGACACTTTAATTTCAATTTACATATTCACTATTAAGTGGGTGCTTGTCTGCATGCATAATAGCATCATACTGGCTCCTTACATGCCACTCTTGGATATTTATTAATGCTGCATTTAGTTTTTGAATCTAAGGGAATTTGCTTGTTTTGACTTCTTAAAATTCACTTCAGATGCATCTTGACAGATTTGAATTTCACATAAAAGCTTGACGTTTCAATCACTTGTAGTACGGGAGCCAAAACAAAATATTGAGTGAATAAATAAATGTACGTTTTGAAATTTTGATATCCAAAAGTATGATTTACTCTGAATATTCAGTGCAGAAAATGTCAAAAATGAGGCTCTATCTTTGCGTTACTTCAAGTAATTGAAACAACATGTCAATCTTCACCCTGATGGTCTTGTTTGCTTGTATAGATCATAAAAAGGCATCAAATTTTGTGTCAGTCTGTTTCATAAGAAGGAAAAAAACTCCTCACTTGCGCTTCAAATGAGACGGTGACTGAGTGAAAGCTTAATTATGAAGTGTTTGTCAAACAGGATGACTGAGCGCTTCATATTCACATCCAAAAAGCCGATGATGCTCCTAATATGCATGCTCACAAGCTGCTAATTAATGGTGAATGTGCATCTCTGTGTCAAATGTTACCAAGGTGAACCTCAAAGGATTCAATCTTCTCTCCTGCAGCTGCACTTTGTTATTTATTTAGCGTTAGTCTCCCCCCCGTGGAGCTCCGGCGCTCTGCAGAGACCAGTGTGATTGGGCCCGACATGTTTTGCTCAGTTTTCAGCAGGTGGGCCATCACCTCTGTGCTTTTTGATATCACCTTTGGGCCAGTTACAAAATAGCGAGCAACAGGATGATAGAAAGACTCTAATAAAACCAGACGAGCTCTGCGGTGGGCTGACAGTCAGATATGGTTCACTCATACCCTGGTATCCAGGCCGAACGTCTGGTAGCATCTAGGATTGTGCTGAAAGTGCTTTATCTTAGAAGTAAATTGTGTTTTTCTGAATGTCCTGGTACACAACATGTACTCTGTGTGTGTGTGCGTGTGTGTAGATGTAGGTGTGTGTCAGCTCTCCTCCTCCATGTAGCTTCGATTTGAACCAACACTTTGTAATCTTTCACATGTGACACATGAGATAATACTGGATTTAGAGTTCAAACACTCAGACAACAGGCGGCTTGTTTCAGTCCAGGCAGAGAAATGGGCTGACTTGGGCGTCTCTCTTTAAGCCTCCAGAGTGCAATCAGTCAAAAAAAAGAAAAAAAAAAAACAAACATAACAAAAAAAATTAAAATAAAAACTAGTGGGAAATTTCAGAGTCAGCTGTCGTTTCTCTCCGTCTGTTTTTGTTTGTTCTGTTTCTTAGAAAGTACAAAATGAGAAAGTGCAGATGGAGGTCAACACGTCATGATGCTGCTGTGTTAACATGTGGGATTCGTCGCTGGATGGAGGAGCCGCCCCCCCCTCCTCTCATGTCAAACAGCAACATTTATGTGTTTTGATGTGTGTGAGGCCAGGTCGACCCCCTCCCAGCACCGGTTAGGTTTCTGTAGTCTTTTTTATCCAAAGTGCCAGGCGTTTTTTTTTTCTTTTCTTTTTCATCATCTTTGACCTTCTCTCCATCTCTTCTTCACAGTATTTTTTGCATGCAGGGTCTTTCAACCCCCTTGTGATGCTTTAAGGCAGGGGAGGGAGACGAGCAGAGGAGTCCACCGATCAGGAGAGGGAGGGCCGTGTGGAGGAGGCAGGCACGTACATAACTGATGATGAGTCCATTGGTCCGTCTGTCTGTCTGTCAGTCTCTTTAATCCTGCCCACCCTGAACCAAAAGGACTTCAAAAAGGACGTCATTGTCGCCCACGGTCGTCCCTCAGACTGCTGACACCTGTTCATCCTCTGTGGAGAGAGAGAGAGAGAGAAAGACAGGTTGAGTTTGGTTGAGCTAAAGAGAGTTTGCTTTAGAGGAAGGTGCTGCTGTTTTCAGTTAGGGTCAAAAGCTGCCTTCTTATTGGTCAACCATCAATTATCAGATTGTTTCCCTGCTTTTACAGCAACTTGAAATGACAGCAACAAATGCACATTTTCTCAGTTTGATTATTTCCTAAATGATGACAGTTTTAGACTCTCTCATCATGAAGCATCAAACCCTGAATATCCACTTTCAGATTTCAGGAGCAGCTCTAGTGTCGACTCTCGGTCAGGGAGAGTTTTACGTCAGGTCAACATTACATTTAACTTTTATTGTCACCCCTTAAAGCCTTTATTCTCAGCTACAAATGCACCATTATAAAAGACAGACACACTGCGTATGTGTGCACTGTGACTGTTTTATCTAATTTATCGAACAGTTGTTCAGAAACTCCACATTGAACACGATTCAAGTCTTCACACAGGAGGACAGTTTATATCTTCTCCCTCTGGGACACCCACAGATAGAGTGTGCCCTCGATATATTCTGGAGCGACTTATATTACAGATATTACGGTAATTTATTTAGGCTGTAATCGGCTCAACAGTGGCGGGCTGTTTCACCTGTGGTGTGTGAACAGTCCTTTCAGACTGTTTCTACCAGACCTGCTCCTAATAGTTCAGTTTGAACCCCCCTAAATAGTGAAAAATCATTCCTACCATCTGTGTGCCATAAATACAAATCTATGTTTTCCTTTAAAAGTTTGTTTTTACATTTTTAACTCAGCTTGTACATTTGTCTGCACTGTTTCAGCCTGTTTTTTATCTGCTCTGCTGATCCTGTGTTGCTGTAAGCGCTGCAAATTCCCCTGCTATAGAACAAATAAAGGTTTATCTTATCTTGTCTAATCTTTGGTGAACAAAAGAAGCTTGTGTAAAGCACTCAGCTCTCACAACTAGCATGCAGCAGCACACAGAGTAAAAGGGAAATGCATGTGTTTTAGAGCTGGGCATTAACCCGAAAATTAACAGACGCCGTTTTGCTCACATCGGTATACCTGGTGTCAAAAAAATAAACAAAAGTTGGTTTTGGATGTGTGTAGGTAGGCTGTAGTCTCATGTCCCTTTAAGACACTGTCCTATGTCAGAGACGTGCTTTTAATGGTCGTAATTTTGTCATTTGCCTAAACATTCATTATTTTTATGCAGATAAGTAAAGATTTAATGACTCCAGATTATATATATATTATCCAGTAGGGCTTGGCGATAAACTGAAAATTTACTGATACCGAAATTTACGACAATAACAATGTCATTATGCCCAAATCGGTATATTCGGTGTCAAAAAATTAAACAAATAAAAGTTGGTTTTGGATGTGTGTAGGTAGGCTGTAGTCTCATGTCCCTTTAAGACGCTGTCCTACATCAGAGACGTGACTCCACCCAAATACAGGTGAGGAGATGGAGGACGGTTTGAAGGTTGAAGTGGCTGAAGTAGACAAAGTTAATGTGGGAGGGGGTGAGCAGCTTTTGGAGTAGTTATCATCTATTTATCGTTATCGAGGTGAACTGCTCAATATATCATGATATTGATTTAAGGCCATATTACCCAGCCCTAATACAGTGATATCAAAAACAGTATTTTCTGACTTTAGATCAAAACCCAAACTGGAATACTAAAGTCCAGCCCTAATGTGTTTTATCACCAGCAGAGGTGATGAAGTGATAGCTGACCAACAGTGGTCTGTACTGATTTGATCTTTATCTTCTGATGACATACAAAGAAAACAGCCACTGAAAAGATTTTCCAAAACACTCCGATTGTTGTTCATCGCACATTTTTAAACTCTGTAAACTTTTCTCCAGTTAAACCGGCTAAACTGTATCAGGATTACATGCCGCTCTTCGTACTCACGACTTATCGGAATCTGAAAAGCTTTGCAGAGACATCGGACACCCACAGGTATATAAAAAAAGTGACGCTACATCAACACAGAATTCATCCAGAGTGACTGTGGACGAGCCAGGTGCGTGCTGGTGCAGGAGGATGGAGGTGCATGTTTTTCAGGCATTGAGTCTGACTGTATGAGTGAGAGGGTCCTGACAGCACTGAGCCTGCTGATGAATGCTGGTCAGCACAGAGCGACAGACAGTCAGAGAGAAGAGCACAGTGTGCGGTGGTAGAGAAGTGAGTTTCTGCTCTAACCAGCATGACTCATGCATGATGACATACTGTGGGTCAAAGGTGAGGGTCCCACTCCAAATGATCAATTCCCACATCATAAATACTGAATGAGAGTTTCTCTTTCTGATTGGGAACATGATGGAGAATTGATGTTGGGAGTGGGACCGGTCCTCCTGGTGCTGTGTGAGGAGTGTGAGGAAATGATCAGTCTCAGTCCAGGTGTGTGTGTGTTCCTGTTCACATGCAGGTTCATTGGAGGGGGCAACCTGATAAATTAGTTTTTACCTGCCTTGGGGGAGAGGGGCCCTGCCTGTTAACCCCCCGCACACACATTCTCATGGTCTGGGAGTCTCAGGTGTGTGCTGTGCCACTGGCTTTGGCTTCCTCAGAGCGATTAGTTTGGGAGACAAGGACTCACCCTCCTCCTCCTCCTCAGCTTCTTCATCCTCTGCCGGTGAGCGCGTGCGATGGAGACCGCCCGCTCGCTGTTTCGCCCCCTGGTGGGCCTGGTGGGAGTCGGGAGACTGGGTGACCATGCGCGAGCGCTGCAGGGCCGTGGTGTAGTCTGGCGGCCGGCGGCCTGTGTGCGTCGTCGTGGTTGTGGGGACAGGCGTGGTCGGGTGCTGCCCCTCAGCGAGGTCGGAGATGGTGAGGGCGGTGTAGCCGGG